ATCACCTAAATGAATTAAGATAAATATTTAACTATTTATATAAGCAATATTAAGGCACCAATAGCAACTAATTAAACGGCTTAAAATTATATAAGACATTACCTGATAAAAGGCGGCTGCTCACGACTTTTATCTGCAGTTATCTGTTGTGGACTCTTGACAGCTGACGGAAAAGCTGATGCAACATCTTCTATTTGTTCCACCCTGAAAGTAAAAGAAAGTAAATGCATAAGTAATTCGAAAGAATCATTAAAATAACTGGTTTCATCCAATCGAGTTTAAATATATTTACATTTTCTGTTGCCTCAAGTCTGAAGAGCAAAGATTACGAAGATAATCATCGCACTCGCGTTGTTTCTGAATTTGATATTCTTTTAGTAGTTCCCTTCTAAAATCGCCATCGGCGCCGGGCAGCATTGCCGCTTCAGCTTGCTGCGGCGTGCGCTCTGCGAGTGATGAGCGTTCTGTCGACGCTGCCGTGTTTGATATCGACGTAGAGGCTGAGTAATCTTGCCCCCTGTGCTCGGGAGTAGTGGCGTTAGACGCGCCGATACTACTGTCGTTCGTTTTCGAAGAGCCTGTGTACTCGCCGATGGGTTTCAATGTTTCATCGATTGTTTTGAGAGATTCGTTTAGCCCGTTAAAAATACTCTCGGCGTTTTTACTGTCAAATAATCTATCAACAGAAGTGTTCATCAGTCTGCTGCCCTTAATTCCAGTTAAATGAAATCCGCAAAACATGAAGATGACGGGCCGTAATCGATTGCCGAGAGAGCCATTACAGCTGGGTGCCGGGGAGCACCGTCAGGAAGCGGACGCAATGATCTCGTCATAGCATCGGCGGCCGAGCGTGGTCGCCTAAATGGCATCGCCAAATGGGGGAATGTGCGTGGTTTTATCGGCGTAACCAGCATGTGCTCAGTCCATGAAGTATGTAACGATGGACGCTCTAACTTTTCCACATCTACATTCAACATTCTCTGTTCAAACGGAACACTAAATGTCTCGGCAGGAATAGACTGTAGCCATGATAGTAAACTCAGGTCTGATTCATCAAACCCGGAACCATCTAATAATCTTGAAAAATTTACTTCATTTGATTGTGCTTCCTTGGAGCCCGTGGCTTTGGCCTGGCAGTAGTTGACGCATGACTCATACAAAATTCCCTTTATGAGTAATTGCATTAATCGATCATTTTTTGCGCATTTAGACACTGAACCGCTCGATTTTTTATCGCAAGGCAAGAATTGTTCAACGAGAGGATACACCTCTCTGAAGCACTGAACGCGTGCATTGCTAGGGTTCCATTTCTTAAACTGGGCGTGATCAGTAATACTGGGTAAGGTCAACAATAAACATAGATTTGAGTATTCTTCTTTCGAGGGCGCTAGCTTCTCTAAATCACTAAGGACCTTAACAACTTCATCTACGATATTTTCCACATTATTATAAGCTTTAATTTCAGATCTTATACATAACAATTCTATATACTTATGCCTTAGAATAGCGTAATTAAATTTGTCCGCTTCAAAAGCTTTAAGAGCGCTAAGTGGTTGAATAAACTCCAGTACATCATCCCATTGTCCGTCGAGGATAAGCTGACGTAGGAACAATACGTCATCAGCGAAATTGCCATTAATAACACCGGTTTCACGCTCTAATGATAGTTGTGTAATGTGCAAGTCGCGGTTGTGTAGAAACTCTAGGGCCAGCCGGACTACGTCATCCTCGCGTAGGTTTAGGTGGGTTGACGGCATTTTGATAACCAAATGCCTTATATCTGGAACAAATAGATTACTGGTTTACTTTATTGAGGAAAACTTTACAAACTACTGGTAGGTATACCAAGCGTCTGGACAACTATTTTTATAACTTAGCATTCTTTAGACTCAAAACGAGATAAAATATATCTAAAGTCGCTTTTAAAAAATATAATCTCGATACATTAAGAAAAAGTTAAAAATTCTAATAATAATACTGGTTTGAATATATTATTCCTATCTTGTGATTTTGAAACTCGTTCCTTTGGTAAATGGCAAAGCCAAAAGCTGGGGCTGTGATTTTGCTATTGTAACAAGGAAATTGGAAACATTTCATGAAAATTGATATATCAGGCTATGTAGTATGTACTTTTATGACTAGACACTGAAGCAAGCATATTCTAAGTTAAGACTCACTATAAAATAATCTATACATATAATAATAATGAATAAAGTATATGGAGAGTTCTCTCTCTCTCTCCATATACTTTATATACTTTACATTCTCGTATCACTAATTGATTAATATTATTGACTGTTTATTGTTTTCAGCCTTTCAGTGGCTGTGAAATTCCAATTTAGATATAGTATAATGTCAAATGATTAATTATTATAAAAAAGATGGCCTAATTTATTTATAGAGGTATTTCAAAATGTTAAAAACACAGCAGAGAAAACAAAATTGTTTTAAATATTCGTTTGACACACACATAATAAATCTATTTGTAAATCTCGAGAACAATAGAACACATTTACCGAGTTAATGAGGTGTGTCCCAAATACATTATATCACAAAAACAATTTACTATTTGTGTTTCATGAATAGATAACATTTCTATTAGAATAAATACAGGCAGATTATTTTATAAATATATATACGCTAATCTTTGGAAAGTTTGAAGAATGAACAACATAGCAATATTTTGCCAAGATAATAGTGAAATAGGTAACGTGGAATATGCATGTGTGGTAAAATTACAACCAAACATCTGTTTTACTGTTTTACATTATAGTCAATAGATTTTACTATTTTATTAATAAATATTACTTTATTTCAAACTTATTGGACTTTTTATACAGTTAATATCCAGTTGCAGAAAAAAGCTCAGCGGAGTTATTATGACGTCCTAAGTCAGAATGGTTCCATTGAGGGAAAGAAACAGAGCTATATGCAAGTTGTCTAGCAAGATCTCGTTCCCTTAGCAGAACCACTCTGGCTTTAAGACATCATAATTGCCACCAGGACATTTGACTACCTACTCTTTCGGATTAACAAATTCCAATAAGATATTAATTTATAAAAAAATAATAATATATTATGCTTTACTCATACACCACACAATCAAAAAAATATTTGCCAGTATGACCCTATTTTCTTTGACATTAAGATTTCTAGTCCTTTCACTGTATTCATTGAATGTTTAAGGTTCCTTTACAACATTAGTATGCAACACATACCTATGACATTATGACACAATATATTAATGAATGTAAGTAGAGGAACAAGAACAGACCTGCCTTACTTGCTTTCCTGTACATTGTTGATTGTTATTATTTCTATAGAAGTACCAAAAATTAAATAAGTACTCTTTTGAAATGCACTTGCCACGTCCAAATGTTATATTATTTTGTATTGTATTTTATTAGTTACATGTCCATGCTACTAAGGTAATTTGGATCTCAGTTATCTAATCTGAGCTTCAAAAAGATGAATAGTGTGACATTTATCAGTTCCTGATAAGGTTTTGTTTTTGGTTGGTATATTCATAACAAGGGATTCAATATTTTACTAGTACATACACAAACCAAATAGAATTTGTCAGTTAAAAAATAAGTGTCTATTTCATTCACACATTGCCAGTATGAGAATTATATCTCCCTATGTAAATAAATTTTGGCCCAATCAATGGCTTTAGGCTCAATTATTATTAAATCTTGATTATTTTATAAATGCATATAAGTAATAACAATACGAAATATTCAAATAAATTATTACCAAAACATTCTATCACTACTTGTTATTTGAGTCATCTCTTATTATTAAAATTGGTGAGAGTTAGACTTTGGATACTAGATTATTTAAAAATACGATACTTTCACACACAGATTACGGTCTGCTTGTGTGCGTAATTTATGCTCCTGCAAGGGGAAAGCCTGATGTGTTGCTTAGTGAAAATTATTGGTGCATCTCTGACATACCTAGCGCATACCACTAAGTGAAAACTTTGACAACCTCAATTTATTTTTAAGTATTCATCACCATACAGTTTCGCCGCAATGATTCAAATTTCGAAACAGCCATTTTAGTACAACAATCCCAAAACAACTAGACCACCTACACATTTTAGGATTACCATAAAAGTCTTCAACGGGAAATGCTGGTATAGTTCATTAGTAAAAAATATCACTTTCTAACTGGTCAACAAATCAAAACACCAGTTTTTTTACAGTTATAGAATCATACGTTAATTAAAACTAATAAAAATAACAACGTAGACAAAACATTTTTACCTCAATATTTATAAAGTGATGACTGATACCACTTGAACAAATATTTCACGAATTTAATATTCTACATTTGTAACTACAATTAACGGAACAATAATGAGAAATTTATTCAATTTATTCCACATTTTTTAACGGGAGAGAGAGTACATCACGGATTAGCAGTTTAAAGATTTGTCTATGATTACACTCAGTGACGTCTCGGTCTCGCTATCAAAATCGACAGCCCGGCCATAGAGTAAGTGTTAAATCTCGAAAAGTTCACATTTTGAATGATGTCGAAATATAAACAAAACAAACAAGGACGGTGAAAAAAAAAAGAAAATGCTTCCTGGATATCATTTACCAATGTAAATTAATGTAATCTTAGATGTCTTAGGATCCTTAAGGTCACAAATAAGTAATTTTTGTAATTCATCTAAATAAACGATACATTAACCATAAATCAATAAAAGTAATACAAAGAAGTTGTGAAACTTAATGTTTATTGCAAAAAAAAGATATTGTTACTATAATATTATTAATTGGCTTGCTGCCACGAAATGTTGTAGTTTATAATATTAATCTAAATGTGTACTGGCCATTTTCAGTTTTCATTTTGGTCTAAATTATCTGTGCTGTCAGCTACAGATAAGTGGCGCCCTCGTGCTGTCATTGCAGCGGCAAAGTAACATCTATCATTGAAGGGACGGATTGTTGGTTTTTTATTAAAATTATATATTTTTACTGCAGAAAATGGATGAAGAAGGCGATAATCTTTTGCTCGAGGATAATTACTATCAATTATTGAATGTTTCAAAGACGGTAAATATAAATCACATGCATTTTTACCATTCTTTTCTACATTTCTACATTATCAATATTATATAACGACACAAATCAATCATAATGTCGTTGAATATATAATCTAAATTACTCTAAAGATGGAATCTAATACTATTTAACCCTATACATTTTTGGATGTGATCCTTATAAGTATTATTTTGAGGTTAGGATCAGTGCACCCTGGTCTCGAGACGTGCTCCTTATCGTATTAGTTTTTGATTAATTGTAATGTTTATTCTAATTAATTGTTTAATTAAACTTTTGGTTAAGAAATCTCGAAGCAATCATTTTATTTTCCTATGTAACAACAGTTTGAGATGATGCAATATTTTGTCTTTTCGTTAGATGCATGTAGCATTTATTTGACTAAAAGCATGTCTTATCTTTAGTTACTAAAGAGATATGAATATACCGTTTTCTTAGTAAACTCAAAATGTGTCTTGATGTCTTATTTCTTAGGTTCTTTTTCCTGCTATTGAAAGTATCTTACAGTACCTACATGTTGTTTATTTTCCAATTTCATTATTTACCTCGCATAATACATCATAAACAATAACATTATTATTTGTTTAAAACCTCTATTCTAAGAATATTCCCTTCACTCTTCCTATTGTTATCTAGTCGTAGTGTGTAAATATTGTATGTCTGTTATACACTGCCATTGTTTTCTTACAAGAAAACTTAAGGGCAAAAAAGAAGGGTATTGGTAGAATTTATTGTCATTTTTATTTTAAATTTGATACTTGTTTGAATTTTGTTTGAGTTCTTTAAAAAGATAATTAGAAAATGATTAGTGTAGACAAAATCACACAAAGTCTAGTTGTATTATTGTAACATAATATAATTATAGCTAATGGTGTTTATACTGTTGTTAAAATAAGAAGGTAGTTGATTATGAAGAAACCTTCATCTGTAAGTAAGTTAATAAGATTTATAATGGAAGTCCTTGTGGCCATGTTTTATAATGTAGCTTTTTGTACATAAAAACTACATTTGATTAAAATACATGGAATTGTGTTTAAAAAAAGTTACTTTCTCTGATATAAGACACATTTCTAAATTGGCCACAGCACATTATGTCTAACTTTAAAGTGTTAATAAAGTAGGGTTCGAAAAAAATCGATATTTATAATAAGTATCAAATATTGCATATTTTAAATCTATTGGTTTTACTTAAACATAATGACATACATACATAATTTCACGCCTGTCTCCCATGGGGGTAGGCAGAGACTAAGGAACGCCAATTACTACGATTCTTACATACCTCTTTCGCTTCATTAACAGTCATCAATCTTTTCATGCATGCTCGTCGGTTAAGTGTACTTTTAATTTGGCCCTTCAGACGGACGTATAAACATAATGAATTATTTAAAAAACTATAATGATTTTAATGGCTTATTTTTAAATATCATTATCTTTAAAAATAAGCAAATGTAATAATTTAAAAAAATCAGGCAAATGAATCCAACTTAAAATTTTCTTCTAGATCAGACAAAATTCATATCACAAAAAGCAATTGGATATATATCGGATATGTATCATGAAAACCTTTGAGCACTGCAATAATTTATACCAGTTTAGATCAATTGCTTGCGAAAGCAGTATAGTCTTAAACTTAAAGGACAAGTTCCTGATTTCAAGTGATACATTCTTGTACAACAATATTTTTAATACCCGACTGATGCAAGATGGTCTTACTATTTCTACAAGATTATAAAATTATGCATCATAATGAATTTAAGGAATCTGATAACAGGATTATTATTTAGATAAAATATTGCAAAACACATTTGTACATAGACAAATTTATTTTCTTTTGTCTTTTCTTTTATCTCAATAAAATGTATGGTTGTGGGTAAGTAAGTATAACTCAGATACGTGAGTCTGTTTAGTAATATTATGTAAAGAATGACTAATTCAGTATTTTGCATAATAATTCAAAAAAATATGCATGGCCATAAACTTCGGGGTATACATTATGTTATGTCACATGAGGTTGGCATGAGTAAACCCTTTAATTCTCTCTCAAGGCTATAGAAAATAAATATTGAGTTCTAATATTCTAATATAGGTAGTCTTATTGTGTCTCTATAATACATAACCAACTGTAAAAGCATAATATTGTCTTCAAATTAATACTAAATCCGTACTAATAACATTTCAGGCATCTTTAGAGGAAATAAACAGTGCATATCGTCGATTTTCACGCATGTTCCATCCTGATAAACACAGTACTGATCCAAACAAGCAGAAATGGGCAGAACAAATATTCAACAAAGTCAAAGAGGCTTACGAAGTGCTTTCCGATTCACATAAGAGAGCAATCTACGATACACTAGGTAAGACTTGGTACTATTTTAATATAACTTGAATTATTATTTATAGAGAAAATAGGCATTTATTTATGTTTACTGCATTTTCTAGGAAAGCGTGGCTTGGAGGTGGAGGGTTGGGAGGTAATATTTCGCACTCGCACACCTAGAGAAATCAGAGAAGAATATGAAAGGTAAAATTTTCATGAATGTTTGTTATATACAATTAGTTTTACTATAACAGTTGTGCCGGTGAATTATTGAAAGCTAAACACCCCAAACACTCAACTAATTTTCAATAAAAATATAGTTAATTTTGTGATGCAGTTAACAGTATAATAGATTTATTGATAATTCATTTCGAGTTGGGTAATTTTTACTTCAGATTGAAGCGTGAGAGAGAGGAACGAAGGCTTCAGCAGAGTGCCAACCCTCGTGGAACCATCACATTGTCCGTAAATGCTACGGACTTGTTCATGAAATATTACGATGAGTATGAGATTTTGTGAGTACTGCTTGTTTTTTTTTTGGTTTGTTTTATTTTTTTTCAGCCCTTTAAGATTCAATATTTTTGGTTGGTTAGTTTCTTTGTTTTTGTTAAATAAATTATATTATTGTAATGTTATTAACCTTGTGTCGTAAATCTACATAACAATGTACCTTTTTCTATCAATTTATCTCGCACACAATCAACTGATATAAATCCCCAAAATTTGTTCATACAAAAGTAGTCTCTAAACATTGGGACTAAGCTCTACAAAGGAGTTAGTGGAGTGCGGTCACCTCACCAGTGAACCACTTGAGGATTGATCAGTTATTTATTAGTCAATACAATATATTGCTTTGTTTTATATTTTGCATATTATAGTGATATTTTTTTTTATTATTATTATAACAGCTTGAGGACATAATATTATTATAAACTTATTTTCAATCATATGATATAACTGAACATTTATCTTGCAGGGAAGATACAACTGTTATACCAAATATTGAGGTGTCCGGAATGACTATACAACAGTCGATTGATGCTCCAGTGACACTAAGAAACACCATGACTCTATCAGGAAACATATCAACACAAAATGGAATCGGTAAATAATATTATCAAAATATAACAATAGCTACTTCTACGCCGTTTCACTCACTTGCTCGGTTTCTATTGATGTCAATGTTTGATAGCATTCCTCGATGTATGCCCTTTCCATCATACAAACAATTATTCATTTCAAAATAATAGTTCCGTGATTAGTGTGTTCAAACGTAAATTGGAACAAAATAATTCTGCCTAAATTTACGCTGACCAAAGTTGGAGCCAATAGCTAAATTTTTAATGAATTTTAAGTAGTTTTGTACTTTTCATTGAATGTACGTATGTATCAAAGAACAAATGAGAGAAGCAGCCAGTCTTCTATTCTAATATGAAACACAAAATCCTTTAGTAAAGCAATCTCGTTTATCTTGCGAGATCTCGATTTTTTTCGAACGAAATTAATCTCGCTAAAAATGGAGATTGAGAGCATTCCCTAGTCTCATTATTTCTGATATTGTGTTTTTTTTGCAAATATTCTTAATTTATTTTTAGGTACGGGGTCCGTGAATGTTTGTAATCGTAACCTAAGTTCTGAGAAAGGATGGACAGAAGTGGAGTGTGGTATAGGTAATGGACCTCTCCTCGGTTTCAAAATATTCAGGACTCTGTCACGACTGATGTTCCTGAACTGCGGGACAGTTTTGCAGTTTACACCAAGAGGAATTTCACCAAGTCTTGTATCAAGTAAGTCTATTTTCTAAAGTAGTCTTTTGTAACAATTTAATTGAGGAGCATCATATGTAACGAAAACTTTGATTTTGCATTATATATACAGGGTGACTTGTAACTCGACGTATTCTTCTCGGGAGGTAATAATACAACTAATTTCGTACAAAATTAGTCCTGAGGTCTCTAGTCCGAAAGTAGCTAGTTTCTGAGATATCCAACATTTTCGGTTTTGGTGAAAAAAAAACCGATCTAACTACAAAAACATCAATAAATAAAAAACTATTGGTTTTATTTTAGTGAATGTAGTTGTTATTTATTGTCAATAATACTTTCCGAAATATCATTTGTTAGCAAGTAAATTAGTATCAAATTTTGTTTTAAGTCACTTATTTATTAAATTGAGAAGTGGATTATTAAAAAATAAAATATTACATTTTAAAAAATATTACACACAAGCGTACAAACTATTAAAAAAAGTTCTTTAGTTATATTAGCTACCCATAAACATTAAATTATTTATAAAATTCTGGAAAATAAATTAATGACTTGAGATGATAAGTAGAGTGTAAAGAAAACAAACAATTTCAAAAACATAATTATTTACAAAATTTTGTTTAAAGTGACATTCCCTATAATGAATAAATAGGCTTTGAATTGGGTCCAATTCCATGACCCGCACCGAGTCCAGACCTAACGCAAGTTGATTTATTATTACATTAAGGGACACATAAAGTCTTGTTTATACAACGCTAGTTCCGTCTATGGAAATCTTTCACGAAAAAATATATAAAGAATGAGCGTCTTATTTCTTCATCCGCTTCGGCTGAAGGATTAAGACGCTCATTCAGTTCAAAAGTGATCGTCACAGTCACAGGGATAAGAAAGCGTGTGCTGTATTATTATATCCATGTTATTTTAATATGTATTTCATTATTATGTGTGACATTATTTATTTGTGTGACAGAGCATAATTTAATTAACCATGACATATCATTATTTAATATGCAATCCTTTACCATAGGTTCAATTATGTGTAGGAAGAATAGGCGTGGTGGGTCCTGTATTCTAATTAGACGCGGATTTAAATTCAAAACTATTGATGATATTGCAAAACACACAATAGTAAATGTCATTGAGTGCAGTGCTATAGAACTATTAGATCAGAATCTAGTTATAATATGTATATATAGACCACCTAAAACCAATCGAGAGGATACAGATTTATTTTTTAAGAAACTGAATGATATATTGCGTTGTTTTTCATATAAATCTAGAAAACTGATAGTTTGTGGGGATTTCAATATAGATATTCTCAAAAATAATAGAATCTCGACTACTTATAAGCACATACTTGCAGAATTTAACTTGAAACTAGCTGTAACGACTCCCACTAGATTAATTAGTAATACGTGTATTGATCATTTCATACATAATGTTAATGGATGCAAATCTGATGTATTTGATTTGGGCCTGTCAGATCATTCAGCTCAATTATTGATTTGCCCCGTTAAATATAACCTTAAAATGATGTACTGGTATGTTGAAAGAAGAGACTATTGTCAAGAGAGTATTATAAAATTTAAAAATTACCTACGCTCTCTAACTTTTAATGATGTCTACGAAGAACTGGACCCAGACAATGCTTTTAGCAAGTTTCATGATATTTTCAGTCTTCTTTATAACCTATGCTTTCCCATAGTGAGAAGCAAACGATCACTGAACTCTCGACCAAAATGGATCAGTAAAGGGATAAAAATCTGTTCTAAAAGAAAACGTGATTTGCTATGGATATACAGGAAAACAAAGAGTCAAAATGATAAGGTTACTTTAAAATTATACTCACAACGATTAAATCGAATCATTAAACAGACACAAAAGTCACAAAACACTTATTATATTAATACTGCGTTGAATAAATCCAAAGCTACATGGGACGTCATAAATAGAAGTAAGATGACCATACCACGAGATTACATTACTCAAATTAATATTGACGGAAAAATTATAACAAATCCTATTGACATTGCTCATAAATTCAATGACTTCTACGTTGACCAAGTAAAACCTTTAATAGTAAATGCTAATAATACTTTTAAATATAAAATGACACATAAATGTAATAACAATAATAATTCAATATTTATTAATCCTGTTACTCCCTCTGACATACTCAAAACAATCAAATCACTGAAGAATACAAATAGCACAGGTTATGATGGAATCTCAACAAAGATATTAAAGGAGGTTAATGATGTTATAAGTCCGGTTCTATGTCATGTTTACAATCTTTGTTTGTATCACGGTTATTTTCCGAAATTACTAAAAAAAACTATTGTTAAGCCACTATTTAAAAAAAACGACAAAGAAAATATGTCATGTTACAGACCAATTGCACTCATTCCAATATTCTCAAAGGTCTTAGAAAAAATAATTTATAATAATTTTAACAACTTTTTTGAAAAATATAATCTTTTAGCGAACGAACAAATGGGATTCAGGAAAAGCAAAAATATTAACAGAGCAATTTACGAATTCCTAAAAATGGTAACTGTCAGTGTTGATAATAAAACACCTGTTTGTGCCTTATTTATGGATTTAACCAAAGCCTTTGACTATGTTGATCATGACATATTAAAACATAAACTCTATGCCTATGGGATTAGGGGTAATGCTCTAAGTCTTATAACGTCGTACCTAAATAATAGGAAACAAGCCACTGTGATAACAAAATTCGATTGGATTACAAAAAAAGAAGTTGAGTTTATTCGGGCTATAGAGAATTGACGTATGGTGTACCCCAGGGAAGTGTCTTAGGGCCACTCTTATTTCTTTTGTATATAAATGACTTTCCAAACGCTATGACTTTTCCAATGATTCTTTTCGCAGATGACAGCACCGCCGTATTTTCTAATAAAAAATATACATTACTTGAGGGTGAAGTAAATTCTGCACTAAATTCTATTGTCAATTGGCTTACATCTAATAATCTTTTAATAAATTTGGAAAAAACTAACCTAATGATATTCAGAAATACAGCTACCATCTTCAGATTTACATATCAAATACTTAACAAAGACAATTAGTGAAGTTAAAGTAGCAAAGTTTTTGGGATTAATGGTCGATCACAATTTAAATTGGAAAGCACATGTAGAAAATGTGTGTGCCAGGTTGAATACGTTCTCATACATGCTATACATGCTTCGTAAAACTGTGGCTGTGCCAACCGCTGTGACTGCCTATCATGCTTACGTATCATCTACGTTAAGATATGGCATAATTTTTTGGGGCAACTCAACCGAATGTGAGGCCGCATTTAAGTGTCAAAAAAAGTGTATACGAGCAATATGCAAACTAAAGGTAACGGATAGTTGTCAGCCATACTTCCGGAAGCTGAAAATTTTAACTCTGCCATGTCTATATATTTTTGAAATTGCTGTTTTTGTTAAAAGTAATATGCAGATGTTTGATAAGCTTACTAGTACCAGATATAGAGGCAAAATTAGAAGTATTCCTAGTAAGTCTGCCTTAATGAGTAAGAGTGTTTTTTGCATGTTATCCAAGATATACAACAAACTGCCATGTTGTATTTCAGAAATTGGGAACCTCAACTTGTTTAAACTGAAATTAAAAGAATTTCTTAATAACAAAGTGTACTATACTGTAAAAGATTATCTTGAGGGGAATCCTTATGGTCAATAATTAATTTAATTTATTTGACATTGCTTGTGTGACATTCTATAATATAATTGGCAATTACTTTTTTACATTATATATCTAATTTGACATTAATTTTTTGACTTCAGTGGTATGAATAATTATAATTTCTTTGACATTATTGTATTCTAAATAATTCAATTCAATGGACCTAATTTTATTATGTAATTATTTTTAAAACATATCTTTGCATGCCAAGTTAAGGCAAAATATGGAGAAACTATAAACTTTGTTAACACCTATATATTATGTACCCATGTTTGCAAATGATTAAATGAATATGAATATGAATATGAATATTAATTTCAGCCATGGCTGTGCAACTAGATGCTCACTCTGTGGGTTACTTGACGTATCGCGCTGGTGGACAAGGTGGCTCTTCTATGACTTCCATTTATGTTCGAGACTCGGAGAAATACCATACAAACACTGCGCTACAGATCGGCACTCCTCACTCTTTCATATCATTCAACATCATGAGAAAACTGCCTCAGCACGACATGAAACTCAGACTGGCCTTGAAGTAAGTGATGTATCTAAATTCTAAATACGTTACATTACATTAAATACCCGCGACACTGCTCCCACAGTTGCGACTAAGTATATCTCCACTAAAAAAAGGTATGCCATAATCTCCATACTAAGCAAGAAGGTTGAAGATCATAGTTTAAAAGATTAGGTTTATCAAAGCATGCTACTGCTTGATGTCTGTTAAATATGTAGTGGTCCCGTAGTCGACTCTTGCGACGCCCAAGAGTAAGGGCCTTATCATAGTAGCGGTTTGGAAGCGGCTGCGGGGTGGACTGGGCCCGCAGCGAATGCATCGCGAAAACGCCGCGGACGGGTGGCAAACATGTTACGTTTTCATCGTGTTTGTAGCAAATTATCTTGCTACAATCATTTTGCTGTTCGCGATTGTGACGAATTAGCTGCGTATGCGCAGCGTGTTCATTGTTTGTCCGTAACAAATTCGTTGTGCGCCTGCTCTGCTTTAAAGACGGTATTTTCAATTCAATATGATAAGGCCCTAAGGGTGGTGGCAATTGTGTAATACAATACCGTCACAAGACTCGTATATAAATTGACACTGCCTTGTCGGCCCATGTACATATCAAGGTACTTACTGTTGGTAAATAAGGCAAAACAAATATTTTTTTGTAATAATTGTTTGTAAAACTAACTATTTATTTGCGAATGTTTAAATACTATTTCATACTATTGCTTTAAATATTATTGATATGTTTCTTTCACTTGAGCGATTTATTTTGCTAATGCAATATAGTGCTGTTATTTGTCCACCAATCTTATGCCCATTTGTTTTTCTAATCAGTCAATGTTTTATTATGCTTGCGAAAAGGATTATTCACCTTTTTGTCTAATAATAATAAGTTGTGGTCGCTATATTAGATTTAATTTGTGTTGCAGTATTAGTGCAAAGACGTATGTCAATAGCGTTTGTTAAGCCTTGAGAGGTCGTTTGGCATTTTCTATATAAGCAAAATTGACATTTGGCAAATGAAGTAAAAACCACGTATTTCTCATTGCTAGCTAACCATATGGCGATAAAAAACGTATGTGTATCCCAAAAGAGAATATAAGATGTAAAGATACCATAATATGGTGAAATTGTTGTAGATTCGTTTTGAAAATATATACTATTTACTATTATGTAATATATATGTATAGCTATATTATTTAATAATTACCTTTTTATTTATTTTTTCCTCTCTCTCTCTTTGCTGTTAGTTTATTCTCCGTACCTTATTTTTCGCAGATTTTCTATTTAAACCCTAAGGTTGACTGGTAGAGAATGCCATATGGCATTAAGTCCGCCTTATGTGCCATATTAAAATTATGTACATTAAAGATTAAATAAATAAATAAAAAAAATATATCTAACTTTATTAATTCTGAGGTTATAGAAATCATAAACCTTAAGATTTTCCGAACCTTGCAGATTGAAGAAATATTACATACGCCTTTTTTTAAGATGTATGCAGCGCGATATAATAAATGCGAGAGCAAATTTTCTCCAGTTATGTCATTGTGAAGTAAAGACTGTCATAATGAATCTGTGTTGATAATCCAGGCATATGAAATATTCATTTGACTGTCTATGGAGTTTTGTATTAGTAATAATAATTTTTAATCAATGTTTAGAACTGTTTTTATTAATATTGCTATAGCGAATGTTGCTTAATAAATTGTGTGTTACGCTAGGCCAAAAATAAACCTATGCTGGAAAAATTAGATCGCTGTCAAACAGATAATATTGTAATTTTCATAACCTAAAGCCAATTTTTTACACCTACTGCTATGCAATAAATGGCTGCTAAGGTAGAAGGTTATGCTGAATGAGTTACTTGTTACTTTCAGGTTGGGAACGTTTGGCGCAATAGCTGAATATGGTGCTGAGAAAAAAGTTTCTCAGAACAGCAGCGTGTCAGCGGCCGTCATGCTAGGAGTTCCAAGCGGAGTTATGCTTAAATTAAAGTGAGCATTGTCAATAGTATTATTTTATAAATATTCAATGACTTTTAGCTAAGTGTCGCATTTGCGTTAGTACCTACCATATTCTTGGTGTAGAAGATTTACCATAACGGGTTTTTATGTACAGAACTACAGGTGGTAATGGTTATGGCGTGACTTATACATAAACTACATAGGTGCAAGCGCAGTCATGATACCGTTTCAAATGTTTTCGTAGATAATTTACAAAGATCGTCGTGAATTATACTCTAACGGAGAGGCGAAGGCCTTTATCGCCTCTACAGAAGCTCGCCGAAGCATCGATCTTCCACACTTAATCCATTAAAAAAAATGATATTACAATAAGCATACAAACTAATAGAAATACTTGATTTATTACCTACCCAAAAACATAAAATAATTTATAAATTAAGAACTTGATATTAAGTAGAGTGTCAAGAAAAACGGGCAATTACAAAAACATCATTATTTACTTAATTTTATTCAAAGTGGCCTTCCTTATGATGAATACATGCCCGCACACGGTTTCTTTTATGTGACGGTCACTCTTCAGCTGAATGAGCGTCTTATTTCTTCAGCCGCTTCAGTTATAAATTGTATAAGATCCAAGCTTTTTTGAGCGAATTATAGACGGATAACAGCAATTGGACCAGAATTATATTATATTATTATATTACAAACTATCACAATATCCAATATTAGTCACAAAAAGGCAATGAAATCCAAAAAAAGGGAATCTAACAGGTTCACTATGACGGTATGTTTTGTACAATTTATAATTGAAGATACTGAAGAAAGAGGACGCTCATTCAGTTCAAGATTGTCCTTCACAGAGATAAGGAAGCGTGTGCGGGCGGGATCTATTTAATGGTTTTATATAATTTATAAACAATTTAAGATACTGAAGAATTAAGACGCTCATTCAGTTCAAAGTTGTCCTTCACATAGATAAGGAATAAATAATAATGTATTCATGTGGGGATGAGCTAGGGTCATTGCTTGAAATGTGGATTTAGAAACAAGGAGACGATTGATATTCTAAAACGACCATCGTTTTGGCCAGCGCACTATCGAATTACTGAGCGACAATGGCTGGATACCTCATTTTTAAGGCATTGAATTGGCAAGGGCGGCCAATTCCATGGTCCGCACCGTGTCCAGACCTAACGCAGGTTGATTTTTACGTGCCAATTCCGTCTATCGAAATCCTTCGCGAAAAAGTAATTGAATCAGCTGAAGAAGTAAGACTCTCATTCAGTGCAAGAGTGACCGTGACAGAGATAAGGAAGCATGTGCGGGGGCGCATGTATTCATCATAGGAAAGGACACACGCTTCCTTGTCTCTGTGACGGTCACGCTTGAACCGAATGAGCGTCTTATTTCTTCAGCCCCCGAAAGGAATACGTTGATTTAAAAATCACTCTGTAGATGGTTTTGCGTGCAGAGCAGTTTTATTAGCCTCAATATCAATACCAAATATACACATACGTTTCGCCGATTGTGTCATCCTGATACATAGTCATTGGAGGGATTTTTTCCATATTGAGCACAGGCCAGAATATTGATAGTGGTCTGCAAGAACATCACTCACTAAATTGTTTCATTTCTAGATGGACGTGTTCGTCACAAACCATTGTAGTACCAATCCACCTATGTGAGGAGGTGATGCCATCGCCTGTGTTCTATGCGACTGTGGTCCCTCTGGTGTCATGGTTGGTTCTAAAAAAGATCATCCTCGATCCCATTGCTAGAGAACGACAGGAGCGTGAGAGGCAGCGGTCTATGGAGGCTAATTACGAAAGGTAATTCTAAAATTTCTCTTCTCAAGTTTGAATCCTGGGTAAGCCAAAAAATTGTTGGTATTGGCTCAGTAGAAGCATTAAGTATTGAATTGTGCATTAAACATGTGCACCTCTAGCTTCTATTGGAAATTAATACCCTGGCTTTGTGTTTATACTTCAACAATATAGCGCGGATAACATTGAGATATTCTTAAAAAAAAAAACAAAAAAGGTGACTGGTTTGCGTGATGGTTAGCCGTCGGCACCGCCCAGAGAAGCTTGAAGCAAAGAAATGTGTTACTGGCCTTTTGAGAAATGGAGAATTCGAATTTCATAATATGCTTCATATTATATGTTAACTTTAATGTGTATGGAAGTGTTAGCAATATATCTGTTTCATGTGTACTTGTAACAGGTTACAGGAAATGCAGCGGCAGGCTCGAGCCACTGTAGAACTGATGAGAGAAACGTACTCAAGAATCAGGTCTGATGAGGAGAAAAAGAAAGGCCTGGTCATTCTCCGAGCTATATATGGAAAGTTACCCTCAGGTTAGTTAACGTTTGCATCGCCATTTCATCCCAAACCGAGTTCGCAAATACGAGCATATGTCTTACAATGTTGCCCCATACAACAAATTGGTTCGTCACGTCACACGTCTGTACTTAATAAACATCGAACTCTCTGTTCATCAAACAGAATCAGCGATCATGATCTGTGGCGATCCTATTTGTTAATTCTTTATGTATTTGGTCCGAATTGTTGCTTTGGCGCCGTTCAAGTATTACGTAAGCACCATGGGGGTGGGGGGGTCTCTGTTTTGCTTATTCCGGATAATATGAAGGGTTGGGGAGTCTAGATGATGATTACGTCATCGGTAATTATTTACTTTTTTACACGAATGGCAACCCTCATATTGAAATCATAAATTAAAGGCAAAGACCGACAAAGAACGAGACATTATGGTATTTGGAGAATATTAAAATTACATTATAAAAAAGATATAATTTAAAATGTTTACGTAAGCAAAGGGGGAGGGGGTAAGATCTTTGCTTACTTTTGCTGACAAGGGGGGTGGGGGGAGTAAATAAATGTAAAAAATCTGCTTACGTAATATTTGAACGGCCCCTTTACGATAAATATAAAACTTAACGATACGAAATACATATACAGGGTGACTTGTATTTCGATGTAATCCTCTTGGGAGGTGGTAATACAACTAATTCCCTACAAAATTAAGTCCTTAGTTGAAAGTATCTAGTTTCTGAGATATTCAATATTTTTGGTTTTGGTAAAAAAAATCCCCGAACATCAACAAATAAAAAATCTACTGGTTTAATTTCCGTTTTTTTAAGTTTTGATTAGTTCTCAATAAAGCAATAAACATTTATTAATACTAACAATGCCAGATATATAATTCGTATCAAAATAGCATGTAAATTCTTATCATTTTTTTATTTACTAATAGCTCAAAAGAAAATTGAATTTATTTAAAAAAAAATTCAATGTGACCTCCCCTACTATAAATACATGCCCGCGCACGTTTCATTATCTCTCTGACGATCACTTTGAACTGAATGTGCGTCTTTTTTCTTCAGCCACTTCAATTATTTTTCCGCAAAAGATTTCGATAAACGAAATTAGCGTTGCATAAACAACGAACTTCATGTGCCCCCACACGTAAAAGACAACCAGTTTTAGGTCTAGACACCATGCTGGCCATAAAATTGGACCCTATTGCCAATCCAACGCCTTGGAAACGAGGTATCCGGTCATTACCGCATTAAGAGTGACCGTCATAGAGATAAGGAAGCGTGTGCAGGCATGTATTCATCACACGTCACGTTGAAAAAAAAAATGTATATAATGATGTTTTGAAATTGCACTTTATTCTTTACACTTTGCTTATCATCAAGGTATTAATTATATATTTTTTTTATTTATAAATAATTTGGAGGTTTTCGGTAGCTAATAAACCTAGATTTTTTTCTAATAGTTGGTACGCTTAGTGTACAATTTTTTTCAATTAAGACCAGTTTTGTATTGACCAAATTAGTGACTCAAAACTAAATTTGATAAGAATTTACATCCTGTTTTGAAACGAACAATATTTCTACCATTATTAGTATTAATAAGTTTTATTGATGATTTCACAACTATGAAAAAACCTTAAACAACTTGAATCAAACTAGTAGTTTTTTATTCCGGAATTTATTTACCAAAACCAAAAATGTTGTGAATCTTCAAAACCAGCCACTTTCAGACTAGGGACCTCAGGGCTAATTTTATAGAAAATTAGTTGTATTATCACCTGCCAAGAGGAATACGCGAGTTACAACTACAAGTCGCCCTGAATGTAATGTTCATGTTCGGGTGGAAGTTTATAAAAGAAAAGAAAATAATCAGCAGATGTTATAATTCGCAACTTCGTAACGTTATAAAACATTGTAAATCTCCTGAGTATTTTGTGACATATTACTGAACTGATGGCTACTCGATTCTCGTCGCTTTTCATGAAATGTCTCTCATGATTATGAACCCCTAACGTAGCTTGAAACTAGTCGATTTATCTCATAAGTTAGTGAACCGCAAAATATAATAGCTATAAAACATTTTTGTTAACAGGTGCGTCTGGTCACGAAGTAGGAGCAGAGCCGACGGGTGACGGTGTGTCGCCGGAGAGCCCCACCATGCTAGGAGAAGTGATAGACGTCACAATACCGATACAATGTCTCGTTAAAGACTCTCGGTTAGAACTGCTCGAAGCAAGCAAGGTAATAACTACTTTATTATTTATATTTAGAAATAAAAATTAATTACCGAAATGAATGTACGCGTTTTACTCTCGGACTAAAAATAAGAACGCGACAAACTGGGAAAGATAATAGTTTTTACCGAATTTGTTACTATTGGAACAAGGTTTGTGTGAAATAGAAATTCGACGAGCAGAAATGTCATGAAATACCATTCGGTCAAACCTGGGGCGGACCTCACACAATAATCCTGGCAAAATAACGTACAAAAACACAATACTGATATAATATATATTTCGACTTCTCTGACATTACTTCAGTTGTTGTAGTCCGTTAATAACACGGTGGATTTTTCCTACATTAAGTCTCGTTGGTAGGCGGGCCGCTTAACAATAGAACACGTTTTCCGTAACAACTAGCTTAATAATAAAGAGTAGTTATTAGTAAAATTACTCTGGACAAAACATTGTGGAGTTCTCATCATCTTATGCGACCTTTTATTAGTGCAACAATGTACCTAATACAATGGTTGACAGAGTACAATTTCAGAATATATCCGCTCGTTCCTTTCGCGTGATTCTGTGGTATCTAACACAAAGGCTTTAGAGAAGACTACGTATTAATTTAACACCCATTAAAGTATTTCTCTGGTAACATGCTGATTTGCACTCTATGACTAGTTACAGGTTGCTCTTAATAATCTCAAGAATTATTTACACCATCTAGTTCAGTCATTTGGTAATTCTACCTTAAAAAGTATGTGGGTGTTTTTAAAATTGGCGATTTTGTAGATTTTGTTGCGCTCTTTCCGATTTCCCTCCACGTACGTGTAATATAATATGTAAGAAGTTTTGGGCCAAAGTACAGCAACGTACATTTTATGAACATTTTGGGAAATAAATAATTTCCACGTCACTTGAAAACAGGTATTTTCAAGTGACGTGGAAATTATTTTTTGTTTTTGTTAACCGGGGATTTTTCTTTTTTGTTTTACATAGTCCTTTTTAGGTCTAATGCGCACGTGTTTGAAATACATTTTTCCAAGATAGAAGCGCGAGTGGTGCACGTACGAGGGTACAAAGTGGAAATCGGAAAGAATCTACAAAATTGTCAATTTTCTAAAATCTTTGAAAATTTATGCAACCCCCTTATAACCTCCTTAATGATTGAACTAATCTACGAGTTCATAAATTAGGGGAGCAACGGCATCTTTTGTTCCATAGCTAGGCATATTGTTAAGAAAATAGTAATCATAATACGAATAGGATTGAAATAAAAACCAAACATATTTAAGAAACGACTTCTTGCCTTCGTCTTAGTCATGTACTAAAAACCGTTAACACGTATTATAAATAACTAAGAAAAATTGAAGCTAGTTAATACCAGATACACAGCATGCATTGATCTACATGATTCATGGAAAATATTTCAATGTACGCGCGATTAAACAGTGCAGTGTATAATTTATCAATCAAATACTTGACCTTGGAGTGTAACTGAGATATTTGTTCCATCGGATTAAATGAAAATTCCAACGGTTGTTGTTAATTTTTCTATACAAGAAAAACGTGACTGTATTTATTATATACTTTTGTGCGTTTCATACAACGATGTATGTATTTTGAATGTTGTATTCAAATTTATTTGGAACCTTTTCTAGTGCATAATTTGATAATTTGCCATAGTCAAAATCAAAGTCAAAGCATTTATTTCAATTAAACCATAGTTTGGTACTTTTGAAACGTCAACAAATACAAAATAAATAATAGTCTGTCAGTCAGTCCGTCAGTGAAACTAGGTGAAGCTAGGTATAATTGAGCAGTATATTTTTTTAAGTAAATGAAAGTACAAAATTCATTAAATATTCACAGTGATTGAATTTTAATATTTAAAGTGGATAATTCAAGGTGGCCCGCGGGAAGTGATAATTCAACTAATTTCCTACAAAATTAGACCTGAGGTCTCTGGTCCGAAAGTGGCTAGTTTCTGAGATACTCAACACTTTCGATTTTGTTTAAAAAATCCCGATCTAACTACTGCTCTGATTTAAGTGATTTTTGTTTCAATTTGTTGTCATTACATTAATAAACATATATTAATACTAATACTTTCAGAAATCAGAAACTAATACTTTTATTCGTTTTACAAAAGCAAGTAAATTAGTATCAAATTCTGTTTTAAGTCACTAATTTAGCTAATAAAAAATTGGACCCATTTAAAAAAATGATATTACACCAAGCGTCCAAACTATTAGAAAAACTTCCTTAGTTTATTAGTTACCCAATAACATAATAAATTAATAACTAGATGATACCTGAAGGGTAAAGGAAAACGAGTTATTTCAAAAACATAATTATTTACTAAATTTTATCCAAACTGACCTTCCTTACGATGAATACATGCGCCCGCACATGCTTCCTTATCTTTGTGCCGATCACTCTTGATCTGAATGAGCGTCTTAATTCTTCAGCCGCCTCATTTATTTTTCTGCGAAGGATTTCAATAGACAGAATTGACGTTGCATAAACATGAGATTAGGTCTGGACATGGTGCGGACCATGGAATTCGACTCCCTTGCTAATTCAACGCCTTAGAAACGAGGTATCCAGCCATTGACGCAAAGTAATTCGATAGTGCGCTGGTCAACCATCGTGTTGGAATATAATTCGTCTCCTTATTTCTAAATCCACATTTTCAAGCAATGACCTAGCTCATTCCTTTTAAATTACTCATAATTATCACTATTTCAATTTTTAGACAAAAAGTTGGGTCCAACCAAGTAATTATTAAGGACACTCATCCAAACAATTTAATGGATACCGTAACAGTGAACCTGTTGGTTTTGCTTTTTTTGAATTTCATTGCCTTTTTGGGACTAATAATGGATATTTTGATAGTTTGTAATACAATTCTGGTCGGATTGCTCTCATCCGTCTATATTTTTTTTTTTTTATTTATTCTCATAAATATATACATTATTATTAAATATACAAAAATCGCCAACTGTTACCAGTTTGTTGGCGATAATGGCGCTCTTAAATATTATTTATTATGCACATATTATATTCTTTATATAATATTAGAAGTATTTTACATTAAATCTATTATATGTATTACCAATTATTATTGAATGACAAAAATATCATTAATTTTATTAATACTAATATCTTAATAAAACTATTTCTATTACATATGAGTATCTTATATTTTTAGGTAGTAGTTTTTAAGTCTTTTTTAAATAAAGCATCACTTATGTTATCGTTGGACGTGTTTCTTATAAAATCTATGTTGTTAAATATTGTTGGACTTAAATATCGCCTAGTCCTTTTACCATAATAATTTTTCACCTGAGGTATTACAAATTTTCCCTGCACAGCACTCCTAGTCTTATATTTGTGATTTATTGGCTCTTTGTGTTCATTTAAGTTGTATTGCTCCATGGCTATGAGGTAATCTACCTTATCATGCACTGGTATTATATTACAACATTTTAATAATTCTTCATAATTATGTTTATATTTTAACTTTACTTTTTTAACTTTACTTTATTTCGCCTAAGAAAGCTTGGATCTTATACAATTTATAATTGAAGCGGCTGAAGAAATAAGACGCTTAGTCAGTTTAAAAGTGACGGTCACAGAGATATGAATGCGTGTGCGCTCGCGCATGCATTCATATCGTATATATTCATCATAGGGATGGTAAACTTTGAACAAAATTTATTAAATAATTATGTTTTTGAAATTGCCCGTTTTCCCTTACTTGTTATACTACTTTACTTATTATCAAGTTATTAGTTTTTTTTTTTGAGAATTTTATAAATAAATTAATATTTTTAGCTAATAAACCAAGGAAGTTTTTCTAACAACTTGTACGCTTAGTGTAATATATTCAAATCCAGTTTTCTATTGGTCAAATTCGTGACTCAAAACAGAATATGACACTAAAAAAGTAGGTAATACTTGCTATTTTAAAACGAATGATATTTCCAAAGTATTAGTATTAATAAATGTTTATTAATGTATTGACAGCAAATTAAAAGTCACAATCAAAATCACATAAAGCAGTAGGTTTTTATTTATTGATGTTTTTGTAGTTAGATCGGGATTTTTTCACAAAAACCGAAAATATTGAATATATCAGAAACTAGCCATCTATCTTCGGACAAGAGACCTCAGGGCTACTTTTGTAGGAAATTTGTTGTATTATCACCTCCCGAGAGGAATACGCCGAGTTACAAGTCACCATGCATATCATTTTATTCTTATAAATTATGTCATACGAATTTCATAATTTTTTGCCCCTCCCCCCGTCTTTGTCACGGTTAGTCACATTTGTGAAACTTCCCCCTAGGCCCTAGGGATAACGTCACATTTTTCAAATTTACGCATAGAAAGTAGTGAATGAAAACAGCGATTTCAAAATTAGTTTTATTTCGCGCGTAACACGAGTGGTCGCCAAAACCTTTAGACAAAACAATTAGCATCATATATTGACACGTGTAAAAGTTCGTGGTTTAATACAGATTATAATAGTTATTGAAATGTGACGTCATCTTCCACATTAGTATAAAATTAAAGTTATCGACCTTACAGAATAAAGGTTATGGTTTTGACAACTATAGCTGTGTAGACACATACATTTCACTACCGCTATTTGTAATCATCATACTCGATATATCGAGCTGTAATTTGCAAAAACATTAGAAAAATATAAATTATCTGGGCTACCTTGAGGCATCCCCTTAATTAATATACTGTCAAAAACCATTAAACTCTTAAAACACATAGAATCGTTATCCTTAATGTTTATCCAAATTCCAAAGTAATATGTGTCTCGATTTTCCTCCTTTCGAAAACAACAAAAATGGCGCCTACGTCGAGTTAAAGTGAAGAGATAAATTGAATAATACGTATAAAGACATAAAGGTTGAATTATAATGGGTGGATTTACAAGGTTGCATTTTATTTCACAATACCTAAATAATCTTATGAGACTAGTTGCTCCTGCGCAGGTTTGACCCCTTTTACACTGTTCGATTCATATTGAGATTAGCGTGATGATTATAGCCTTCTAAATCTGCTATCCAACACAAAGATAAATTTTCAATCCGAACCAGTAGTTGGAGAGCGTTCAACCAAACAGAGCCAAATTCTTCAGATTTTTTATTAAATATACATGATACTTTTTTGTAAGGTTGGTAAATCAATCAAATGATTCCTCCCACCCTTAGTGTCAGACTAACTAACTAAAAACCACCCCGTTCCAACTTCTGAACTGTGCCGTGACCCTGGTATCAAATGGTAAGCTACCCACGACCCTGGCTGGACAACCACCCTAGTGTGGTCCTGTATATGGTGGTCTAGTCTGCCAGCTCTTTGAAACGGGTCTGGTTCTAGTCAGGCGTCGAGAACTCTTTCTCAAAGTCTGCATTTTTTATAGTGGCACTCAAAGAGCTCTTAATGAAATGGCCCTTATGGGTCGTGTTGATACTGATATTAACTTACTATGTATATCACATCTGACTATATTCATAAAGAGCTTTTATTTCGATCGATAAAATCGAATCGATGTTCTCGTGACATCCGTATTATCTATTGAACCCACTTCAGCATGGGAGTTCCTAAAAATGCTAATATAATAAAGCGCTGAAGGTAGCTGTTTAGAGTTTTAGTTCATAATTCATAATAAAATTTTATAATTAATCCTTAATTTATATTATTTTACAAATATCCAACCAATAGTTTATAACAAATTAGTATCGCGATGTAAACATAATTATCTTCGGAAGTTATTCGGATAATGATAGCTATTATATAGGTAGGTGGTTTGCCCCCATAATATGCCTGTTTGGTAATAACCCGCATGACTACAACAAATGTATGAAATTACTCCGCTGACTATAAATAGCAGTAATTTTTGAAATAGCTATTTATGGAAAATATAACTGAGAATTAATGAATAAGGTTTCGTTTTGTATTAACATCTGGAATTAACGTTGACATGGATGTGAATGATAAATTATGACATTATGGTACTTTAATAATGCTAATCTACTTGCTTCTAGATTACTTGCACTTGACATACGAGCAACTCATAAGTATAGCTAGATACTGTTAGCATTGTTATTACAGTCCATTTGCAGAAATTCATTGTAAGTCAATTATGAGATTATCTATGTTTTGCTGAAACTCGAAAACGGTAGAACCGATTTGGCTAATTTTAGGTCCAGGGAATGTTGTAAAGTTGAGATAAAATTAGATGCGATGCGAAGTTTGCCGGGTCAGCTAGTTATTAAATATTTTTATTACTTGTACTATTCAGTTTCTTATTGATTCTTTTCTGCTTTTGCTTTTTGGTTATTATAATTTTAGTATTTGGTTTGGCTAACTAAAAACAAATCTTGATCCGATAACTTATTCGATCATTGAGTATTTCGGTTTATGTAGATATAAATAATATACCATGTAGTGATCGCGTCCAGGTGTGACGAGAATACTTAACTACTCTACAGGTCAATATACCCATATAAACAAACTGTCAGCCATATAAAATAAAAAACTAGTCCTATGGTGCGCCCACGCATACACCAATATCACTGAATGTTATACTGAAAGATGATGTACTTTTTTATAGCGGTGCTCCCCAAGGTGTCTCGGGTGGTTATTTCTGGCATTTCCAATACACTTTCAATTTTAGACATACAGTCCGTCGTTTTTATTTTGCTAAAAAAGTAAAATCGTCCAACTAGGCAATAAATTGGAAAATTGTTCAGTTGTGCGCGTGCGTTAATTTCGGTGATTTAATGTTATTGTCGAAGAATGAAGGATTTATAAACATAATTAGATATTTTATTATGGTCATGCTCATGTCCAGGACCTACCCATTCGGCGTAAAAGTACCTAATAGTAACCTTATGTTAGTGTGGCAAATGAATCGAATGTTCCAGATGTAATACAAATCTAAGTTAATAGTGTGCTATAAAATCAATGTGTCATTTGTCCCCAGTCTGAGCTGCCCGGATTCTACGACCCGTGCGTTGGTGACGACAAGCACTTGACCATTCAGTACATGTTCCACAACAACCTACACTGTTGTACTGTTTCCGACAGCCAAGCCCTCGTTCTTCCACGTAATAGTAAGTAATGAGATGAAAGACATTTTCTAGTCATTACTCAAATGGTAGTAGTAGGAAACTTCCTAGATTTCGTCATAAACTAATATAACAATGTATTACAGATCATCGGATAAAAAATAGATCCTGAAATTTAAAAGCGAAGCGCAGGTACAAAGCTACGGCGCGCTCCCGCCCTCTTCCCTAAAGTTAATGAGTAGACCTCATGATTAAGTCGACATGAATGTTGCGCTTAAATCCAGAAAATTATCATTACAAGCTTTGAACCTAGGCAGCTAATGACATTCCATTACTTTACTATGCCAACAGCAGCCCATCATCAGTAGGTAGTAGCCCTATAAAAGCGTTGAATGATAATGCTTTAATAATTGTTTTCTATAAAAAGTGCCTCGAAACTGTAGCAATATATTACATAAAAGATGCATATTTACACAAACATAGTAACTATATATTTATGTATATTTTAATGCATAATTTTCTGTGCAGAGAATTGATATTTTAATATACGTTAACATACTGTTCTTAGTATAACTTTAACAGCCTATTAAAATGGTAGGAGTCACAGTGTTAGTTAAAAATAGTTAACAATATTTGTTGATTGCATAGTTATTACGTAGGTGTAAAATCTATACGCAACTGTGTAAATAAATCTTAGTTGTAGTTTTACTAAAGTTGTCTGTTCTAACTTTAATAGATTTGTGTATCATGCCAGTTGCGGTAGATGTGTTTCATTGCCGTTGTTTCAATGTATTTTTGTTACATTACTGGGCACAGGCTCGTGTCACTAAGGGTTATAAAATGTACAAATAATAATCAAGTGAATCTTTAATTTATATTTGAGTAGAGACTTCCCGCACTTTGTTCGAATATAATTATAATGAAGTAGTTACCTGAATGCGTTCTAATCTTATAAATGGAAGAATAATTTAGGTAGTGCTTTGTGTGTTAGCTATTCAGGGGCAAGGGGAAATCGTGTTTTTCTTATACGACTTACATCTATAAGTTCAAAAATACTAAAAATTCTCTTACTCTGCGTAATACTTTAATTTACTTAGTGCCTTATGAACTTGTCAGTTGAACACCGACGAAAAGGAATGAGAAAGCTACGTTATAGCCATTCTAGAAAATATCTGAATGGGCTTGTACAGAACCGTCGCTATTGTCCTACATAAGTATGTGGGTATACGTCACGTTCTGTGCTTGCAGGTTTGAGCTATAGCCGGTCATGTCGTGACAAGACAAAAACCGAAGAGTTCATTAACTCAGAGTTGTATTAATGTGCGAGTGGAAAAAAACTCTGTTGTCGAACACTTCGCAGAATGTTAGTAAAGTGATAAGATCTCGCATGCACATGGGATATAATATTAACCTTGCGCGCGAGCCCTCAGTCGGATAACCAAAGTTTCAAACCAATATTCATATACATAGGAACTTAATGATACAATATGTTTTTGCTAAACTGTTAAGATCAAAAAAGTTGATGAACACGCGTACGCTCTGGCAGTAAAATTCTATAATTAATTATTCTCAAAAGATATTTCCATCGTCCATAAATTTCTGTCCGTAGTAAATTTAAATCCTAAGTGTTTTCCATTGATTGTTAGAACCGATAGATAATTTGTGTATTTTTCTAGTTAACAAGATTCGCACAAAACTAGCCGATAAATGAATTCTTAATTAAATCTACCTTGAAACAGCGCTTGCACAAAAAGCTTTGATAATTAATTTTCTGGATTTTGGCGTGTTAGTTAGACCTAAAAGTTAATGGTTGAACAGTTAGTTTTTTTGAATTTGTGCTTCATCGATGTAATATGAAGAGCAACGATAAATCGCATGTATTAGTCGAATTACCTTCTAGTATTGTTTTCTATGTTCAATTTTTGTAAAATAATTAATGTTGTTTATTCTAATTATTATTCTAATCTTATTTCGAATACTTCCAATAAATTATCGCCTACATTGTATTGAGCGCATGTTTTATCATTAACTATAAATGTTATCTTATTTTATGACCTTAAGGAATATATGCTGCAAAATAAACATTATAAAGTTGTTAACTAACTGTTGTTTCATTTGTACTTTATATCCTGACATCTAGTTATCATTTTTTCCCTGCATTAGTGGAGTTTTTTTTATGGCAAAACCGGTAAACGAGCAGACGGATCATCTAATGGTAAGCAATCGGCGTCGCCCATGGACATCTGAAACGTTACAAGTGCGTTACCGGCCTTTTAGGGATTAGGAGTTTGAGGATCGTTAGGGATTCAAGGAGGGTAATTGGGCCTCCGGTAACCTCACTCACACGACGAAACACAACGCATACCTTGCTTCACGTCAGTTTTCTGTGAGGCCGTGGTATCACTCCGGTCGAGTCGGCCCATTCGTGCCGAAGCATGGCTCTCCCACACTTAAAAGTTGCAGTCCATCGGATGAAAAACTAGCCCTTTAAAAATAAGTTTTGTAAGTATATTTATTTTTAAACATCCATCGACGTCTTTCTCTAGACTGACGTGTATTTGACATGTAGATTATCAAATCACAATCAAACTAAGTTTCTGTTCGATCTTCAAATTAACCTAAGTGTAATGTTATGAATTATCTTCCGGGGTTTCCCCCATCGTAACAACTGACTCACTAGCTATGAATTCAATAAATGGGTTAACAGTTATTTGCTCTACTGATCACAACAGCGACTAGACATCCCTAGCAATTTAAACATTTATTAGGTAATGGTTTCTTCCACGGTTATTCAATAACAAAATTTTTAATAGCACTAGCGTAAGAGAGCAGTCGTCCCCAACTTACTAACAATAGACAGAGAATGAATTGGTTATATCTTCTATCTTATAAAAATGAAACCCGTTTCCCGTTGTCACGCCATGACTTGAGAACGGCTAGACCGATTTTTCTTAGTATTTTTTGTTGTATTTATTATTGTCAGGAGAAGGTTCTTATGACAGAAAGTCCTGAAAATCCTACGGGAATGGGAGAAAACGGGATTGCGCGTATAAAGTCGCGGGCAGAAGCTAGTCAGCGATTAATACAATAGGTACCCGAGTAAGGGCGAATTTTCCAACACCAGTTAAATTAAGACTGAGGAATAACTTCGATCATTTGACAAATTCTTCCATACCTACTACTCAAGCTGTCAAATGTCGATTTTAATCCATAGTTAAAAATTAACTGACGATTCAAAAATCGGCCCTTATAATATGTAAGTAGGTACCCGTTACTCCACAGCGTTACCCCATCCCCATACGTACAGAGCGTGTGTGACAGTTATCATTTTCAAAACTTAATCCAAACACGCAATATGAGGAAATATAAATTGATTGATAATAATAAAAGAAACGTGTATGTTGCTTAAGAAGGGTGGTAGGTTGCGCTACAGGTCACGTTTTGAATAAGTACCACAGTGGTACATATTAATACATAATATATGAACACTCTAGGTTTCTCACGTGACAATGGGCCGCATAGCGTGCGGCTCATCGTTGTGGGATATGACATTAATTGGTTACCTTTTATATGAGCTTAAGAATAGAATACGGCAAGGCCATATATGAGTACCTAATAGACGTCCTGCATTTAAGCAACCATATATATATAGAGGTACTATTATTAATGCAGGTTGCTATAAGTGCAGCTTTCAATCTCACATTATTGTCGCGTAAAGGTTTTTCTTTGACACTAATATCAAGAAATTTTAATGTCACCTCTTGCTTTACATCATTAGGTAGGTATACATGTAACCTAACCCAGTCCTCCGACAATATCGTTTTCCCATCTCATTTTTGATGGCGCAGTACATTTGCGAGGATTCGCATTTTTTATTTCACCTGAAATATGTCCAAATCGCTTCACTAAGCTCTATTTACAGTTAAAGTGGTGAAAAATATGTGAGAAAAAACCATGTACCAGATGGACCGACAACATCATCAGAGTCGCTGGTAACTGTTGGATGCTAGTAGCAAGTTAAGTCGAAAGGGTAGGCCTGTTTGTTCAGCTGCGGACATTCCCTGGTGATAGTGATAGGTAATTAGTGAATAGCAATTAGTGCCCTGTACACCTGTATGTAGGTACCAACACTTAGTTTAACCAATTGCTGTACCTATAGCTTTGTAGAAGTTGGTCTATTCTGCAAAGCAAAGTCTGCACCATTTGCCCTTACCAACACTAACGTTAACTTTACTCATGAGTAACAGCGAACAATTAGGTGGTTATAAAATGTCAATAAGTACGATGTTTATACGTCCTATTGCTGTATTTCTTGGCAGCAACGTGGAGGATGTAACAGGAAATATCCAAGAAATCAATAAGCAATAATAGACTTTTATAAATACTTTGATGACGCGTTCGCATACAAATTTACTTCCTGGAGATAATTCCATAACTTTGATTCAATTGATTACAAAGGGTAAGAGGACATTTTTTATTAAAATAAAGGTGGTAAACAATCGGCAATTTTATTTGACGTCAAAGTCATTATAAACCTACTGTGCTGTAGTAAGAGGTGTATTAAAGCACTAATCATTTAAAAGCCATAATCTGATCAATTTGGAAATGTTAAAGACACTAAAATCATAAATGTATAGGTATATATTGTTTGGTCTATACATTGGTCCGTTTGGCAAATTTAGACACAACATTGAAGTGAGCTGACTTCAGAGTTATCTGGTGGATATTTAATCGAAATATCAGAGCACCAGTGTTACAGTTAACGGTTTAATATTCGGCTAGATGGCGTTGCACATAAAGGGGTGTTCAGCGTTAGTTTACCCTACGTGAGGCGAAGGGTTGGAGTAGGGTACACCTATATCAAAATGGAAGGTGCTACAGCCAGTCATGAGATGTCACTGTGCCGTGACGTCATTTTCTGAATCGCGGTGTTAAGATTCTCCGTGTTTGAATGACCTACGACGGCACCCACTCCGACGTTATCGCTTCATCGGCCTTGCGGCTAAGATCAAGCTTATGTATTTGTTCTTTTCAGCTTAATATCTGAAAATTCCTCACTGAGGAACCAGAAAAAAATGAGCTAATTTTTGAAAAATTGACGGGATGTAGGAGCTTGCTCCTCTCCCGTCAAGGGTCGGCCCGGCATTGCAGTGCCGCCGGGATCGGCCCACAGAACTCCTAGAAAATAAATATTCATCAATAGTTACTCCTATCACTATGTTATGTATTTCCTGCTCATAGAGTCCTAGCTAAGATAATGTATAGTGTCCGGTGTATAATGCGTAAAATGATATTTTAATTGACATCTTTTGCTTGGATTCTTTACTATAAAATATTTTGGCCTGTTACGCATTCATTTTTCATGTAACTCGCTATCGCAGTGTAAGCTCTTAGTAAAGTCTTCGTTTGTTGCCGTGAGTCAAGTTGTGGCGATTGCGCTTTGGGATGTTTTAGGATTGCATATTTAGAAATGGAGATAAAATCTTTTTGTAAATATCCATTCATAATTTTTAGTTATAGTTCAGTAGTAGAAAAGATATTGAAATTACAATGTATCAAAAGTTTACAGTCCCTACACTACCTTTTTAATTTTATTTTATCCAGTACTCATACGTCATTACCTAATTTAAGCGCATTATTCTAAACATGGGGACTTCTACCTAATTGGGTCACGGATTCCTGAACTTATTTTTATTTTAACATATTTTTAAAAGCTGTAAGTGTTGTTGTGTCTTGTTCTATGTTAATAAATAAATAAATAAAATAATTTAATTATCTTTCCTGCGCAGAACACGGCGCACAGTAGGTTTTTTTTTAAGGGGGGAAAATCATCGAATTACTGCTCCCGCCTGGGTGAGGCGGGAGGGAGTGTCAGACTCTTACTGACTAAAAACCACCCCGTTCCTTCTCCTCCGCGACTCCGAATCGGCATCGGCCCTATTGGGCCCCATCTGTGGTGGTCTGATGGCTCTTTGAGGCGCGCGCGTCCTGCCTCCTTAGCTAGCATGACTGCTTCGCAAAAGGAGGAGACGGCATCCCAGTCCCAGGTACGCCTGGGATAGGTTCTGTTCGGGCGGCGAGATCCTCTACTATCTACGGCCTATTTTATTTTTATTAAGGTATAGGAGGCAATCTAGCAGACGGATCACCTGATGGTAAGGGATCGCCGCCGCCCATGGACACCCGTAACACCAGAGGAGCCACAGGTGCGTTGCCAAGGAATACGCTCTTTTCTTGAAGGTTTGAAGGTCGTATCGGTTCGGAAATATCGCCGACGACAATCATTCCACAGTTTTGCTGTGCGAGGCAGAATGCTGCGTGAGAAGTGCATAGTTGTGGCCTGGCAACCATCTATAGGATGGGACTGCAATGCTGTCGTGAGGGTCGATGAGGGTTTCCAATCCCCGAATACTGATATCTCAGTTTCTCGACTGGGTAGTCCGTGGTGAAGACTGAGTGGCCAGCAGTGCCACTTTACAGGTCATTGACGTAATCTTTGCAAGAAGAGTCCCTCATCCTCAGTGAACTTCGGGCAATCTATCTGAGGTGGAGGTCCTCGCAATGGGTACACAACGCCTCTTAATCAGAACAGTGTTTCAGTTCATTTCTGCAGACCAGATTGATTACACTAAACCAGCAGAGTTTACTCCAACACCTTGACGTTTTGCAGATCGATGAAGATCCTGTCATCTGTCGTCTGCCGTTCTCACATACAATGAGACACCTAGCCGATAACGCGGTCAACGAGTGAGTTCTGCGCTTTCTTCCGGTACTTAACGATCACGACCGACACCTCGGCTGTTAGACTTTATGTCCTTGTCGGTATTGTAGGCGACAAAGACTCGGACATCTTTTTTAGCTCCTCCATCCTGCTGCAGCTCCGAACGACCCTGTGTCTTAAATTTTCGGAGTTGGTCCATTTGAGAACCTTTGCGTTTATCACCTGCTGGACTGCACTCACAACGTCCCTGCTGGTTTCCGCTGGAAACCAGAACGATGAAGTGTTTTGGTCTAATGACCGGGATCGAGCACTAGGTTATCTCGTCTGCTGACTATCTCGGAGACAAGGGCCACCAAACGCGCAACCTCTTTGACCTCAGGGAGTCCTTATTCTTCAAACACCTTTACCTATTCTATGACCTATTTCGAATCTCCATTTTCAGTGTCATTTACCTACCTAATTCATTTATTTCTTGAGACTTTGACTGCCAATAAAAAACTGTTGAAGATAAATCCTCCGCTAACACCGGTCACCGGTGACCCCCACGGCGTTTAACGTGTTAAAATAGATACTTTTATTGATTTACTTCGTAGGTTTCTTCGCCGTGGGTCCAACGAGAGGGTGCACCGACTAAAACGCGAGGTGGGTGTTCCAGGGCCTGTGGCCGTGGCCATAACCGAAATTGCCCTTCCAGATTCACCGCAAGCGCAGGTTGGAAACGACCTGCAACCGGGAAAATAATGTATACATATTTAATAATAAATTGCAATCTTCATCACGAATTGTTAAAGAATCCTCGTTTTTTTCATATTTTACGCGAAACTTTGTTTTTTTTTAAATTCTACCAGGTTTAAAGTACCTATATAAAGAATTATTAAATCCTTGCCCTACTTAAAGAAATCCAGTTTACTGGGAAGAACCTTTAATGACAAATGTAGAAAAAATGTAGGTTTTACACCTTCAACCTAGTTTTGAATTAATCATTTACATACAATGTTTTTGTTATAATTTTATTAATGTTTTAGGTGCTAGACGGTTGGCGCGGTGGCTGGTCAATCGGCTGTCGTGCAACGTGCAGCGGGTTCGATTCGCAACACTTTGTATGATCCACAAATTGTTGTTCCAGGTCTGAGTGTCATGTGTACATGGAAGTGTATGTTTGTAGACGCACCCACGACACAGGAGAAAATTTTTGAGTAGAGCAATGTTCTTTTTTGACAGTGCTCAAAACGGTAACATTAATGATTTTAAATGTTTGTTTTAAATTATTGATGTTGAAACAATACACAAAATCTTTGACTATTGTGCAAACTTACTGAACTAGATTAATAGAACAAATAGATAACAAATATACATTTTATTGTAAAGTGTTGTCAAGACGAGACTACTTATATGCTTACATTTTTTTATAGCGTAAGCCAGTAAACAAGCAGACGGATCACCTGATGGTAAGCAATCGGCGCCGACCCGAGCGTACGGTGCGTCGCGTTCGGCGCGCGCCTCAAAGAGCCACCAGACCACCACGGATAGGGCCCAACAGAGCTGATGCCGTTTCGGAGTCACGGAGAACCTAACGGGTTACCGGGGCTCCGGCTCGACGTGCAGGAGAAGGAACGGGGTAGTTTTTAGTGAGTAAGAGTCTGACACTCCCTCCCGCCTCACCCAGGCGGGAGCAGGCATTCGATGATTTTCCCCCCTTAAAAAAAGCATTCGACGCCGCCTATGGACACCCGAAATACCAAGGCGTTACAAGTGCGTTACCGGCCTTTTGGGAATTGGGATTTTGAGGATTGTGGAGGATACGGGGATTCGGGGGACTAGGGAAACTAGGGAGGTGGGTAATTGAGCCTCCGGTAACCTCACTCACACGACGAAACACAACGCTAGCGTTGTTTCACGTCGGTTTTCTGTGAGACCATGGTATCACTCCGGTTGAGCCGGTCGATTCGTGCCAAAGCATGGCTCTCCCACATTTATTATCATTATCGTTGCCATAAAGTGATTACATATTTGAGGAAAATTTAACATTTAGTCCTTCATATATGCCCTGACGACTCCTAAATCTATAAACTCTAACTTAATTGATATTTAATTTTTAAAACATTAATTAATATTTAATTTTTACGTGTTATGAGCTACGCGCTACGAACTATTAGCTACGAGCTATGAACTACGGAATACGCACCCCGAGCTACATGTTACGGACTACGCGCTACGAGTGACTGTAGTATCCGTCGTAACTTAACTATAATACATTTATTGCTAATAGATTTATACCTAACTGGCATGTAGGGTTAGAAATTGCGGTCTACGCAAGATCTGATCATTTTTCTCAACATTTAACATGAGTATGTATTTTTTTGCGTTGTTTTATTCCTTTTCGTAATTTGGTTATGACTTGATCGTCCTCACGCGCTTCAGGTCCTCCTTAGCTAGCATGACATGACACGTTACGCTTTACCGGTTATTCCGGGTGGTAATCATGGTGACAGGCGGGCGTTTTAATTATTACCACAAAATAACTGTAGTGATATAATTATAATAACTATAATACCTAAGCAAATATTTATAGAACAATAGAAATATTTACAATAGTTACCACGTAAATCAAAAGTCTTTAAATAATTTATTTGATAAGATTTAATGATGTAATCGTCTTGTATGGAATTTAGTAGGTATTTCTAATAAAAAAATGTTTGTTTACTTCATAGGATTAGGTACTTCGTATATGGTTTAGTCATTTGAGTGTAATATATAATTATTCTCAGCTTGATTACATTAAGTTAGTGAAGGAGTAGGAACGGGGCGGTTTTTAGTCAGTAGGAGTCAACACTCCCTCCCGCCTCACCCAGGCGGAAGAAGTCATTCGATAATTTTCCCCCCTTAAAAAAAACTGTTATTTAAAATGGATGAACAAAATCAACACTTGTACCTGTGCTTAATTTATCATACGATTTCCATCTGGATACTTATGTTAAAAGGATCATTTTTTTATGGGATAAGCCGGTAAACGAGCAGACGGATCACCTGATGGTAAGCAATCAGCGTCGCTCAATGAGATCTGGAACACCAGAGGCGTTACAAGTGCGTTACTGGCCTTTTGGGGATTAGGCGTTCGAGGATCGTTGGGGATTCAGGGATTAGGAAGATTGGGGAAGAGTAGGGGGTAATTGGGCCTCCAGTAACCCTCACTGACACGACGAAATACAACGCAAGCGTTGCTGCACGTCGGTTTTCTGTAAGGCCGAGGTATTTCTCCGGTCATGCCAGCCCATTCGTGCCGAAGCATGGCTCTCCCACACTAAACATCATTGTAAGATTAACTAAAATCGCGGGGGTTCTTCGACGCCGCGCAGCTCACTTGCGCGACGTCACCGCGACCGCGCAACGCTGCTCACGAGAAAGAACCCCTATGTGGTTCGAAACCCGTAGAGCTTTTCTCAGTATATTGACGTGAGTAACCCGCGATTTTAGTTAATTTAGTATGTCTCACGATAGTTATTAAAAAATCATTGTAAGAGTAACAAAAGTTCAAAAGACTAAAAAGGTACCAAGTACGATTCCATGTTCAATTACTGAAAATTATAAAATGGAAAACCAATGACTATTTCTATAATCGTATATAACGTTTGATAGTCATAATGCAGTTTTTTTTTTTAAGGGGGAAAATCATCGAATGACTGCTCCCGCCTGGGTGAGGCGGAAGGGAGTGTCAGACTCTTACTGACTAAAAACCACCCCGTTCCTTCTCCTGCACGTCGAGCCGGAGCCCCGGTTACCCGTTAGGTTCTCCGCGACTTCGAATCGGCATCGTCCTCGTTGGGCCCCATCTGTGGTGGTCTGATGGCTCTTTGAGGCGCGCGCGGAACGCGACGCGCCGTACGCTCGGGTCTGTTTCTGGTCGGACGGGGAGCCACCCATGCTCGCCGTCCGCAGGCCCGCGCTTACGGTGGCCGGAGATCGTCCCGCGATCCCCGACGCCCGGTGTGTCCGATTCGCGATGGCTGGGTTGCGAGGAGGCAGCGCTTCGCTGCCTCACGCGTCCCGCCTCCTCCTTAACTAGCATGACTGCTTCGCAAAAGGAGGAGACGGCATCCCAGTCCCCCTCGCTCCGCATCATGGCCTGCACTAGGCCCGGACGCGAGAGGTCGCCATCGCCGATCACTTCCCTGAGGGCACAGCGGTGCTCAGCCCACGCAGGGCATTCCGCTACAGTGTGTTCCACCATATCCTCAGGGCGGTCCTCGCAGTGATGACACCCGGTCATTTCCTCCCGCCCTATCAGACACAGGTACCTCCCGAAACTTCCATGCCCGGTGAGGACCTGCGTCAGGCGGTAGGTGAGGACGCCGTAGCGTCTCTCAAGCCACTCCTCAAAGAGGGGACTTACCGCTGCAATGGCAGCGAGCCCAAGTCATAATGCAGTACGGTGACATAAACAATTGAGTACTTGCCAACTAGTCAAATTCAATACTTTTTTCGAACTGTGAAAAACGACAGTTTTCTATGAGTTTTGTACGAGATTGTGTACTGTGACGTCACGACGTTTTTTTAACGTCAAATAGCACACTTATTCTTATTTCCTAAAAATTTGCTGGAAAAATACTACAATTTAGTTGGTGATACAATTAATTAATGAAAGTGTGATTATTTTTTAATAACTTATAGTATTCAAACAGTCGTAGTTATTTAATTTTGATTAAGAAAAGTACCAAAAGGTTATCGGTAGGTAAGTACCTAATTTAGCCACGAAAATTTATTCATGCACCCACCGCACCGTGTCGAATTTGTATTCAATATCAGTAAAATTCTAACTATTTACAATCGTTTCAAATACTGTGAAGTAATTCGTAATTCTGAGTACCTACCTAATGGTCAGTTTCAAAAAGATTCCGTACCTAAAAGGAAATTGATGACAAATAATGTGTGTTGTTCAAGAATTATTGATTTCCGTTATTCTTTTCTTTTTTGCAAACCTTGAAAACATAATAAAAATCATCAACATTGTTCAGTCATAAATGGTACCTACAACTAATAGGGATGATGACAGGGTATGAAAATGAAAAAACTAATTAGTCAGTTAGGTAATGAAACATTAGACGCGTATTTTTTTATTTTGTCGTATATTAAAACAATACTTAGATAAAACGAATCTTTAGGAGTGGAGGCTAACTAAAACGTCATTTTTACGTATAAAATGTACATGTTGAAGTGACGTCACGCGACATTGCAAATCAATATATCGTCAAAAGTATTCGTTTCTCTAAAAAATTAAAACTTACGTGGCTAATGATAATGATTTAAAATAATCTATCAGACGGACATTAAAATAAAAATGAGGCATCTACCCTATTGGTCACTGGTAGGTACTGGCCTAATAACAATTGAATAATAATGAATGAAAATTAGATAAGTACGTCCACTGTTTGTACATTTGATGCCTTGGGGAAAACCTTTGCAAATACAATATTTCTACACTCTTGTATAAAATAAGCCCTGAGTCACCCAGGCTCACACTTTGAGATACTGATACCTACTTTGTAGTCAAAAGTAGTTTTACCTCTAGATAGCTATTATTATATACCCACATTACATTTTATTTAAAAAATACCTGGATGTCACGTACAGCAGCAATATTTTTAATCTGCTGCTGCGCTACCGGAAAATATAGGTACGTATACCTATTCTTTATTGTGTGCAAATCCTGCGCGCTCGCATCTATCTGCCGCTAATCTCGTTTCAGTAAAGGCAAAATAATTGTTTGCAATTAGTCACGATCGAACCACAAAACGAAACAAGTGCCATTACGACTCATCTTTCATATTAAACTTTGTTAGCATTATTATAGGGTTCAAATATGAATCATGCTATGACACATGGTGTCATTACGTTTCCACTGGCGTTATCAATTCCTGAAAGCCCTATTTAGGTTTGTGAGTTTCCACTTACAAAAATTGCGTAATATTTTTTATGATCTGAGTAATAAGTTATAAGGTTATTGATAGGTAAACAAAGAATTTATTTATGAATGCATATTAATTTTTGTATGCCTTCAAATTGTTTTTTAGCTATGTTCGCAAGTATTACTAATACAATATTCTGTATACCATAAAAAAATATTGCATTAAATGTCTCTCCTCCAGTCATACAGAGAAGCGTGCGCCGCGTCGTCGCGTTCCGAGCGCCCTTCAAAGAGCCATCAGACCACCACGGATGGGGCCCAAAAGGGCTGATGCCGATTCGGAGTCGGAGGACAGGGGATCAGGCTCGAAACGCAGGAGAAGGAACGGGGTGGTTTTTAGTCAGTAAGAGTTTGACACTCCCTCCCGCCTCACTAAGGCGGGAGCATTTATTCGATGATTATCGACCCTTAAAAAAAGGCATACAGAGTAAACCTTTCGGAACGTTTTGTATCTATAGGACTAGTTTCAATACCCTTTCCCTCTTCCTAATAGGAATAGAAAACTGCTTTTAAATCATCACCAGTGTCATTGTTTGCTTAGTGAACCCTTCGGCACTTTCGATTTGACAAACATATATATGTTTATAAAATTCTAACGAAGTCATTTTAATTTCTTAAATTAAGACGTAGAAGTAAGATTAGCATATCGACGGATTCGTACAATAGAAGACGAAAGCTGCTAATTGGACTTGGAACCTGACGAAGACCTATGTTATTATTTTGATCCAATTCCGCGTTGTGCCAATCTGACATCCACCAATTTTTAATACCAGCAATTTGATTCCTCTGTACAGTTTGGTAACTATTACTGTCAGTGTCCGAATCGCATACTTACTGTTGTTTCGCGCCACGATAGGCTTTATTACCTATTGTTCTTTTATACAAAGAATAGTATAAATGCTAAATGGATAAATTACAATCATAATCATAGCGTCAACAAGTCGTATCTTTAAATTGCAGAGAAATTAGCCAAGTCCGCTTGATTGTTTTTTTATACCTGCGTCGTGACTTTCCGTAGCTACTCTTAAAGAATATTGAGACTTATAGACAAAATAATTTGCTATAGGTAATTTGTGGATAACCAAATGTGTGGATGTCCGGATTTTGTGTCTGGACGACTCCGTAACGGAGAGGGAGGTGGTGGCCGCTAAAGCCAGGACGGGACGTGCCCTGCTGACCATGTCAAGTCATCCGTCCGGACAACTCGGGACTGCGCACGGTGATCGTGAGCTGCCCCGTCACAGCGGCCAAAACGCTGGTAAAGAATATTGAGACTTATAGACAAAATAATTTGCTATAGGTAATGTTTTTATTGTTTATGAAGTTAAGTTATCGGTCGATCTCGAAGCTCTGACGTTTTTAAAGTAGAATAGTCAATTGTCAAATCTTAGTCATTGCGTCTTTTTAAAAACCGTTGCCCTACACTTACTAAGATTTTCTTCTGTGTCGTGGGTGAGTTTATAAAACCACTATTTCACATACACAGGACGACCAGAATCGTAACAACAATTTGTGGATCACACAGAGTTGAACGTCGTACTTCGTACGGGCTCGTTAAGTTCTCCGCAGCTCCGAAGACCTATCTGCCTACCATATCGGGTTGCCCTAAGAATATTACATTTGAACGTGAATGAATATGTGTAAATATATATAAATGAAAATCAATTTCCATTCGTTAGTCTCGCTAAAACTCAAGAACGGCTGAACGGAATTGGATAATTTTGGTTGAAATTTTCGTGGAAGTCCAGGGAAGGTTTAATAGGTAAAAAACCATTAGGCGGTACGAAATTTGCTGCGTAGGGTAGTTAATTATACCTCTAAAAAGAGTATTTTACAATAACAGTAATAAATTATAACTGCCTATTTTACGAATTAAACGAGATCAAATTTAAACTTAGTCAGTCGTCAGTCTCCTTTATAACCATCTTATGGCCACTGCACTGGCAGCTAATCTTAATTAAATTCGAGAAGTCTCTTAATTATAGCGAAAAATTTTCACTACCGTATTAATTAATTCAATTGAACTGCCTTAATGAATTTAATGCGCTCATGGATGCGAAAGTCAAGGTAAATCATTAAGTACCTAGTTAGTACGTATCTACGCTACCCAACTTACTATTGTATCGTATGTATTACAATTTTTGATTTTCTTAAACATAAGACCAGGGACACATCAAATTATAAAGTTGGATTGCTTTTTAAAATGCGTATTAATAATATACTATTCGTATTTTCATAGGTAACATAGGTATATTAGTAGCTCCTCTGTTAGTCTCCAATCAGTAGTTTCTGCTATATATATCATTTAATAACCGGAAAAACCACAAAATGAGAGGGTTGTCCA